TTCATATCTTGCTAAAGTATTAACTCGTGGTATGACAGTGAAAGGTAATGGAATGTTTCTTGCATATTGTGAAATTCAAACCTTTGATCAAGGTAATACTTGGATAGTTGATAGTTTAGATATTTCGAAAACGAATCTTAATTATACTGTTGGTACAATAACTTATCTCAAAGATACAGAATTAAATAATCCATCGGTTACGATTATGCAACAATATAATAAAACACAAACAAAAAGTTTAATTGAATATTTACAAGAATTATATCCACCATGTTAATATTTATATAAACAAATTCTTACATCAAATTTTGGAATATTATTAGTAAACCAGTTTAATTTTCTTTCTTTTTTTTTTATCAAATTTTAAATACGAAATAAACAATAAAATATTGTCTATTGTTGATAATGCAAATGTAGAACTCTTTTTTTCCCAACTTTTACAAGGTGGAAAAAATTGATTCTATAGTAGAGCCCGTCGAAGCCAAGATTATTGAATTCGATGCAGACCCGATTATTTAAAATTTTTTTCTATCCGGGTCCGACCAAAAGGAAATTTTTAGACTCGTATCTGACGAGTATTTGCGACAGTGGAGTCACTCAGAAACTTCGATGATTTCAATTAACCTTGATTGACTCCAATGTTTTAGAGTCAGCTTTTATTCTCTCTTGGACTTTTAGTACTCGATAGACTTCGCTGTACTAGATCGATTTATCTTTATTATGATTTTCATTTAAGTATCAATGCTGTTTTGATATGCTAATTTAAAAATAATTTTTTATTCGATTTTACTAGTTTGTGACTTCCTATTCAAATCATATGTCATACCTATTCGTGAAACATAATATAAACAACATAGAAACGAATAATACAGGGTGGTGCAAAAGTTGCTGACCAGTCTTAAATTGCCAATGACTTTTGATAGAAACAAGATCTAGATCTGTGGTTTTCACCACTCGAAAGAGCAATCTTCGAACTATCGATCTATATAATATTCACTAAGACGAAAGATGTTTTTTCCATAAGAGCTTTTTAATTGACATTCTTTTCTTTTGTGTATTTTCACAATAATCTCGTCTCAAATTACATCAAAATATAGCGCAAGTCATCCATTTTTCGTTATTAAATTTTCACTTTATGCATTATTTTGTCTACCTCTTTTCTCCAGTGAGCCTTCCAAAAAATAGTGACATTTGTATAGCAAAAAATGGGTGATTTGAGCTACATTTTGGCATAATTTGACACAACATTATTGTGAAAATACACAAAAGAAAACAATGTCAATTAAAAAGCTCTTATGAAAAAAAAAATCTTTCGTCTTAGTGAATATTATATAGATCGATGGTTCGAACATTGCTCTTTCAAATGGTGAAAATCACAAGTCTATATCTTATTTCTATCAAAAGTTATTCGCAATTTAAGACTGACCAGTAACTTTTGCACCATCCTGTATGTTTGCTTTCTTATGTTAATAAAGTTACACTTTAAAATCATTATCTCAATTGGATTATGAAAAACTGACTATCTCAAATGTAATGTTTCCATTGATTAAAACATAAAATAAAATTTCATTATCGTCAATGTTCATCTTTTTTTCTCTCTCTTTTAACAATGCCTGAAGTAATGACGTTTATTCTAATGAACAAAAGAAAATAATGCGACTATTTATTCAAAAAATACGAATTCGAATAAAAGCATTTTCAGATTTCATAATTCTCAATTTCTTGATGATTAGAAGTTTATTATAACATTTGCTTCACAGCGAGATTCGTGTAAGACTTTCTCTGTCTAACGCAATATGTTTTATTGATTTTTATTACAAATTCTATATCATGTTTCAGTATTTTTCCTTTTCATGAGATGCCATGAAAGCCTACCGATAAAAGCTATTATATACCAAGGCGATATATATATATATATATCAATTTCTACAATCAATTCCATAGCATCTATTGTAATTGCATCGATAGGTTTTTGATAAAATACCATTGCTTCTTCAACATATTTGCTTATTTCAATTTATTTTACTCGAACATAAATTGAGATGAATAGTTTTTGTTATCGATCCGATCAATTCAGCGCATCATGGAGTATTTATCTTGATCAGACAACTAATATTCTTCATATTTGTCGACTTGTGCATGTAGTTGTGAATCAATCAATGGATAAAAAGCAAGTTGAATATCTATATATATTGAACTGCTTGATAGAGTATTTAAGCTTTCTGTAAACATTATTTTTATTAATTTTCATTCTCTGCAAAAAAAAATTAATTGAGAATGGCAAATATGTAAGCATCAGTCAGTTATCATATTGAAACAATTTATTTATTAATTCAGTTACAATATCGAAATGTTTTAAAATTGACAAACTTATTCATTCATTATTTAAACAATTGGCTGCATAGTTAAATCTTCTTTTAAAAAAGTTTCAAGAGTAACTTATTCGGCAATTTACTAGTACATGCCATTTTTTTTTTGTAATATATTAGATTAAATTTGAAAATAGAATATTTAATATTAAAAATGATTCTGAAATAATTAAACGAAAATTTTAAAGTATAACAAATGTTTTAATTAGCGGGATTCTTCTCTCCAAGTTTTCTCAAAAACGGCTCATCAGGATGTTTTAATATATCTAAAATTAATAGATCTTCATCTGTAAAGTAAAAGTTGTCATATATTTAAAGTTCCACAATGAATACAAACCACTCTCCGTTTCTCAGCCAGAATATGTCTTGTAAACCTAAAATGTTTTTTCCACTGACTAGACACAGTCTACGGGAGCTATTTTTTGTTTTTGGTTTTTTTCTATCTTATTCTATTCGAACAAAAACGATCAAATATAAGGAGCATCTTAAAAAACAAGTGTGAGTGTTAGAGATGGAACCAGTACCAATGTTGTTTTTCGATTGATTGATCTACCGGTTTTGATCGATCAGACCGATCCAAACCGTTCTAACTGGTCAAAACCAATTTTTGCTAGTCTATATCTTGCACTTTCCTGCTTCGTAATATTATTCACATAATAACAGGATAATCAACATCAAGGCTAATCCCATTGATCACAGAGAAGTTATGTTAACAAAGAGTTTCTAGAATATCCTTCAATGAAAGTATTATTATCAACAATGAAACGATGAGCCAGTATGCGTGTAGATACGAAGGCTATCCTAAGGAGACACTACGGTAAAAAGTTTCATTTTAATTCTCCTTGACTACTAGTAAATAGATCAGATCAATTTTTACTAATACGTCGGTTCTAACCGATAGACGAGTACTAGTGCCGGTCTGGAAAAAAACTAGGCCAGTTCCATACATACTGGATGTGTGGATAGATGTAAGTATGCAAACAAGAATCCTTTGCTCTCACATTTAGATTTACATCCACACCTATTCATTCTGGTTCTGTGCATACATACTGTTATAACACTATCCGTACGTATTTTTTATTGTCGTAAATACATAAATACAAATCAATGCGAATAAGATACAACATTACTGTCTTGCTATTTTTGTTTTATCTTCTAAAGATAGTGAATTCTGAACATATTTATATATATCAGAAAGTTTTAATAGTTACAGATACAAGTTAATGCAAAAGCACTTTCATTTATTGTTTGATATATTCTCAATGAATCAAAATAAGAGCTTACTTTTATTTCTACAAACATCAACTGTAAGATTAGAAGTTCTCTCTTAATCAAACTCTATACCATATTGATTGATTAAGATTGAAGAATTCTAACCATTCGAGTCTTCTTCGAGGTCTATTATTTTTTTTTTTGCTTTCATGCTTGTTTCTCATCTTCTTGTAGAGTAGATGTAGTTGCATTTCTTTCGATTTTGATTAGTTCAATGATAATAAGTGCAAACAAAAACAATTATTTACATATATAATCTATTCTGAATTACGTGGATACTTGTGTTGTTTTTTTCTTCATGTTATTCTCTTTGTTGATTCAGCTGAATGGCAGATATATTTTCATATTAGAATGTTTCTTTGCATAATATTTTCTAAAAAAATCTACCTTGATCATCCGCTAAAAACATGTATGCTGAGAATATACATCAGATATAAATTTTACATTCGAAAAAATTCTGACACTTATACATAAGTAAGTATTGTCGTCTATTTGTTTTCAATAGATTTAAATTATCAGTAGTGTGTAGTGCTCTATTGAAGTATAGTAATACTAAAGTAATTAAATTTTTATGAAAAAAAAGAAAATGAGAAAACTTAACAATTTTATTATATTCTCTTTTGTAGAACGAAATCAAACGATAGATATATATTATTGTATTCATTATATGAAACTTGGAAAAATGACAAAGAAATGCTATATGATATTTCAAAATAGAATTTATTTTCTCATAATCTAATAAGGTGCTCAAAAGTGTATTCAATGGTTTCGGAGAATTAAATGAAAGTATTTCTGCAATGTCTAGCTAAAACAAACATAACTTTTGATAGTATTTTGTTATTTCGAGTTGATAAAATTTTTATAAACAATTATACTGTAATCAATATGTCACTCAATTTTTTCAATGAAATCCTCAAGCATAAATATAACTAAAACAAATTTCGGAATATCAACAAGTACAAGTTTTACAGTGCAATGGAATCAATGATGAACTTCAAATTTACGATACATTGTGTTCTATTGTTCGAATCGAGATCGAGATATGATGTATCACCTTCTCTTATGTACTCTTTGGAATAGGCATAATAAGCAAAGAGTGTTGCTGAATAGAGAAAGTCTTGAAGAATGCATATGAGTATTTCTGCATAGTTGCATTTTCAAATTATTTCTTTGCTTAATATGTTCTACATCTTGGGTTATAGAAGAAAAATTTTACCATCTGTTTATTTTATAAATTTTTCTTCTGAAAGAGAAGAAACACTCAAGCATATTTTTCTCATTTTGTTTTTTTTTTTAGAAAAGTAATTGTGACGATCTTCCATGCAGAGGTGATAATAAAGCATACCATACTCAAACATCTTATAAGCAAGATCTTGTCCAAGATACAATCTTGAAAATTTAAGATCAAGGTATTATACTATCTGGTAACAAGATCTTGAATCAGATCTTTAGTACATACCAAGATAAATCTATTATTTTTTTTTTCTATAAAATCATATTATGACATTTATTTTCATTTTAATCTTGAGCTCTTGGCTTGTTTTTTTGGAAAATCAAATTTTGCCACATCGAAATTCCATTTTTGTTCCAAAAACATTAGTAGTCTATGTTTGTATGATAGTTTTTGAAGCAATCAACGACGCATAGTGGTATATTACAGTCCAGACATATCTATCAGGTAAGAGATAAGCACTTTACGTCCACACTCACCAAGATATACACATGCAAATTATCTTTTGAAAATCTTATCATGATGTTCGACGAGGATAGCCATCTTATGATAAATATAGAATAGATTGGTTTTAAATAGTCAAACAAGGTGTGGGTAGCAGAGCTGTAAATTTGAATTAAAAAAAAGAGGAATTTCTCGACGTAAAACAGTAAATTTTATGGAACTGAAATTACTCTTTGGTTGAATTGTTTCTAAATAAAGTAAAATTTTTTGTTTAGATATCTCTCTGCTACCAACTTCGTGATGATAAGATTATAATTTAAGAAATATAGTTAAGTTACTGTCATGCAGAACTGTGAAGCAATTTGTCATTCGAACTTTTATCAGTGAAATAGAATCAGTGTTTTTACGTGTTGTAGTAAAAGATTGTGATAAAAAATTTTTCTAATACATCTCAGATTTCACTAATTTCATCACCATGTAAAGTATGTATTTGATAATTATACAGTCGATTATTTCTTTTCATTAACAGCTACACAAAATCTCTACGATAAGATTATTACCTTTGTTTTTAAAAGCTTAAGAAGGATAAACATGTTTGCTTATCTATTCTTGCATCTATGAAATATGGTGATAGTTGGATTTTTTGCTTTTTATTTAATGTAGAATATTGCTTAAATCCATAGTGACAAAACTCCTAAAAACTATGAGAAATCAGCAAACAAGCCTACAAGCCAGGAATCAAGAGATTTGACAGCCCTTGTCGGTAATAGTCTTACCATCATTTATACCTACACCCAAATAAGTAATGAACATTGCTTATATTAATTACTACGCTCCAAATCATTACCTTACTCTAATTGGTTAATATAGGATTGAAGAAGAAGTTTAAAGAACAACATATTTACACCAGTTTACTACGAAGTTAAGAAGCATATATAATATGACTTCATCAATTATTTTTGGCTTTCTAACTATGCTATTCATTCAACAAATAAATACTCAACAAATTTTCTTCGATACAATAGTGGTTTTTGGAGATTCACATTCAGATACAGGAAATTTTTATAATTTGACAGATCACTTTTTTCCTCCTGTACCATATTATCAAGGTCGATTCTCCAATGGTCCTATATGGATCGACAGATTAGGTATATCGAATGTTATCAATCATGCGTATGCTGCTGCCACTACTGATAGCAACTTTATTCCAAGTATATTAATCGGATCATTATCAATACCTGGCGTCCGCCAACAAATTATGAGCTATTTTAATAAGACTAATATGAATACAATCAATTTGAATCGTACACTTTTTATTATTTGGATTGCTTATAATGATTTCGGTTACAATAAGACAGTACGTCCTTCTTTAGTCGTTGCAAGTTTGACTAATTGCATCATGGATCTACTTAAGATGAATATCAAGCATCTTTTAGTTTTTAACCTACTTCCTTTGCAAACAGTACCGATCTTGCGTGTACTCAATGAAGAATCGTATTTTAATGATACATCGCTTCAATTTAATAGCAATTTGTTAACTGCAATTAATTTATTGAAAACTATCAACACTAACGTGTCCTTACGCATATTTGATATCCATTCGCTCGTGTCAAAAATTATCGCTGATCCATCGATGTATTCATTTAAAAACAGTAAAGACAATTGCTGGAATACATCCTACTCGGGCATTATAGAAATCTGCAAAGAGCCAAATTCTTATGTTTTCATTGACTCTGTCCATTTCACAAGTCAAATGCATGAAATATTTGCTAATAATATACGTGAATTTCTATCATCTTCATCTCGATCGAACACTGTGCTTGGATTCATTACTCTTATCTTTTGCTGGTGTCTCTTATTTAATCATATCTCTTACTATGACTTTTAAAATATCATAAACTTTCGACTTTATTGTATTTGTTCACATCTATACAATGAATGAAAGAAAAATCCCATCAGTCATTACATCACTTAATCCTAAAGAAGAATGCTTTTGATTCGTTCTTACTCTTATTTTTTACTGCTCGAACAATATATATGTATATATACTACGGGGGAGAAGTGGAAAAGAACCTACTGAACATAGTTAATACACAGAAAAAACATCACATAACAAAGAATAAGAAGCCTTTCTAACCGATTAAAACATATATTGCTGTAGTCTTTATTCAATAAATACATTTACACACATACATGTATCTTCAGAAGCAAAAGAGTTAAGGAACATATAATTCCTATAATACTTATATTTCAATCGCTACTCATAATTGTCGTATATTTTATGAAAAACTTCAACAAATTTGACTGTGACCCAGTCCGACAAAGAGTCCGAAAAACGCGTTTAAACACCCAAAAGATCGAATTTTTGGGCGTTAAAACGTGTGTCCGGGAAAGTGGTCGTGAAAATTTCTAAAAAGTTTGAATTTCGAGCGTGTACATAATCAGATTTAATATTTCCACTTTTTGTATCCGTGCACATGCACAGAATCGGCAACATATGAACGTTTTCACGCCCACTGCTCTCTGCACGCGTGTAAACGGTAAAAAACTAAACTTTTTAAGCGTTTACACGCGTATTCAGGATCTTTTTTTGCAGGCGGATTAACAAAAATGCAGCGAAAAAAGTTGATTATGGAAAAGTCGATCCTTTTCACGCCTTGTTTTTCTGACCGTTTTTCGCTGATCATCGGGAACCACGATTAGCACTCGAAAACGACCAAATTTCTATAGCTTTTAAACGCGTTTTTCCAAATTTTTGTCTGACTGCGAACCTGAGAAGAAGTATATGAGTCTTTGTAGCATTATCTTCTCCCTGCCGATTGTCACTTTTTACGAAGAACTCAGAATATGAGAAGAGGTGTTTTCTTGAAGGTAAGGTTCGACGTAAAATGCCTAGTTTTCGGTTAATTTTTTAATGAAAATAATCGTTGACTATTTGTCATTTACAAAAATTTAGTTTCGAAATTAAATATTTAAAAAACAAGATTTTTAATATATATATCGAATATGAAGATATATTTGATTATAACTATAAAATAGTACAAATAATTGATCTTTGTCTATAAAAATGATTGTTCGAATGAGAATAAAAAGAATAATGTGTACAATATTTCATATGTTGTTTTCGACCATAAATTTGAATTTTTCGATAATCAGCCAAACATATCCAACAAAATTGATGTTTACATATAGTACATGTCATATGATCACATCCAGATATTTTTTCAATAAATGAATGACATAACGGACATCTTTTTGTATTTTTTCTAAGCCATAATCGTATATTATCATCAGTAGATAGATCATATTCTTGACATGTCATTCCATTATGCCATTTCATACGATGATATGTACATGTTTGTTTTTTACATTTAATACAAGTAACTATAGAATTTGAATATATATCTGTATAATGTAATTGTCCTGAACCACATCCATTATGTGCACATCAAACAAATTCTTGAATTTGTTCAAGATGTTTATGTGTTAATTGTTGATCATATCGTTCAAATAATTCGATATTATTTCCCATATGAAGAATATAACGAATACTTTCAAAAGTAAAAATATAGTCATACAATTAGGTTCAGGACAAATTATATTTGTATTTATTTTATTTTCAACAAGAAATTTTACATGATTATAAATGCATGTATCACATATTGTTCGTTGAGAATGTTCACATTGATTACTATAAAATCCTTCAAAAAAATAAATTGGTTGATCTAATAAACAAATAGCACATTCACGAGTTAATTCACTAGAATTATTTTATTAAATAATAAAATTTTAACATTAATATTTACAAATTCATACTTGATTGAATGTGATATTCGTTTTCGTTGAGAATATATTCTTTAAAAAGATTTATTTGTTGAATTATTGTTATTATCTATTATTGCTATTTGACTTGATGTTCTCTTTATCGGAGAATTTTTATAGGAAACTAGATAAATAAATTCATTTATATAGAGAATAATTCTTTTGATTATCAATTTACGTAAATCAATAGAAATATGTACTCCTTGATTTATTTCTGTATTATTAATTGATGACATACTTGAAGTTATTTCAGAATTGATTTTCATTGGTAATTTATCTCAATAATAAATTGAATATAGAAAAAAAAACATAATTCATTAAATAAATACTGACAACGACGTTTAGTTGTTTGACATCTATTAGAATAATCTGTTTTATTAACATAAGTTTTTACTTGATATTGGATAGTTTGTCGATTAGGAGATAATTCCCTATTTAATTGATCCTTACTTGTTAAAACTTCTTTTGAAATCAATTGTTTTGGCTTAAAAATTATATGATTAGCTTGAGTCATTATTAATCAAATTCAATAACAACGAATAATACAAACTAAACCAAGACATAAGCATATCAAAAAAATAAATACGATCATTTATTCGTTTGAATCTTTTCTTTTTCTCTCCAAGATATCTAAATACGAATTATTGATTTATATCAGACATATAATAAATTACGATTTTCGTTCAATAGAATAATCATTGAGAAACAAATATTGCTTAGATGGGAGTATTTTTTAAATAACTTATGAAATGAACAAGATAGAGAGCTGCGATTTTCACCACTGAAAAGAGGTCTATCCAGCGCATCGATTTATGTAAATTTGTTGAGATTTATTTCATAAATAAATAGTGATCTATGGTCATTTTGAAAGAGTAGACTATCGCTCTATGAATATAGAACAAATTTTAAGCTTTGAGAAGGAGATTAGAGTAGGCAGCTGACGAGCTACAAAATTTTGTATAAGGTTTGATTCAAAGCTTTACTACTTTGAGAATTCTAAGTATCATATTCAACAATTCTAATCCACTTTTCCAGCAATTTCTGTAAAAAAAACCTCATTTGTTCAGTTTGTTTCCTGGAAAAATTAGACCGGTTTTTAAGGCTTTTCTTTGTTCAACTATTGCAAAACGTTTCAAAAAGTCCAATTTGAAAGTCATTGTCTTATATGATTCGATGCGTTATCATTTGCTCTTTTCAACAATGAAAACTGCAGCTTTCTGTCTTGTACCTATCAAAAGTTACTCAAAAAAAACCCATTCGCCTTCTTTATTGGAATGGACAGTAGATAAAATAAAACATTTTGTGGTGAATATAATATCCTCAAATATTAGATTTATTTAAGAATTTTATAGTTCATATTTCCCTGAATTAAATAATCATGTGCACAATTCTATTTAAGTAATATTTGATCAATATGTCTTAGCACTTTTCAAAAACTATGTTGATCGATTAATTTTGAAAATGTGTTCAAAGATTTTAAATGATAATGTTACGTCTCTATCTGGTTAGTTATTATCGTCAACATTGACTGAAGGCAATAAGTTTTTTTACTTCCTTAACATCATTCAACTGTGAAAACATTTTGAAAGTTTTAATCAAAAAAAAAACTATCAACACTACTTATTTGTAATGTTAAGATTAGTTCACAGTGATAAAACAGATTTTGAACTATTTAAGTGTCATCACTAAATAACAAATGAAAATAATGATCAAAGAAGACCTTGTCATGAAGCAACAGAAAACAAGAAACGAAATTTATGATAAATGAATTATTGTATGTATTCAATTCTACGTACTCTATTTATTCTAGTTTGTTATCTTTCACAATGTTCGTTTTTGTTTTATTCAATCGTAACGAATATGTCTCTACCATCCATACATATATAAACTGTTCTTTTTTTTTCAACAATAATTATAATATACACCAGAAGGTTAAGAGTACTTCACGTTATCAATGTAAGAAAAAAGTTTTGCTTCATTTTTTTTTCGTTTTTGTAACGTATACAATATGAGAAATATTTCTCGTATTCGATTACGTTATGATTATAACATTTGCTCTTTCTAAGTTTGAAATAAAAGTTGAAGTTTATATGAATAAGAATATGACACGATTTACTATTTATATGATCTTCATCAAAATCATTTGTTTCATATAAGAGAAAAAACATTCGTTATACAATAGGATTTATTCCTTGTTTACTTTTGATTTTATTTTTATATTTGACAAGAAAAAACATTATGATAATAAGTCATAGAATAATGTGCTATTATAAAAGAGAATATAACAAATATTTATTAAACAAGAGTAAATATCATATTATATGTCATTATATAATATAGAACTTCATCAAATTTTTTAATCGCAACTTTTTTTCAACAAATATTCAGTTTTATTCAATTTGTTTTCAATGTAATTTATTATCTCTAACAATCGTCATTATACGTTAGGTCCGAATGTATTTAAGTCAGTTTGTTACGAAACTACGCAATATCATATACTTATTTGTTGTTTCATCCTACATTGCCAAAAAGTTGCCTTGTACAAACAAAGAGTAAAAACATGTGTTATTCTCTGGTGGTGGATCTCTAAATATGCACAATTATTGCTGAATATATATAAAGGTATCAAGATTCAGACGCGTGTCTTGTTGACGTAACCATATGACTTCAAATTGAATCTTCAATGTTTTCTTTCGAATGTACAAGAAAGTTATTTTATATCATAACAAGTAACAATCGTCTGATTGACTCGCTTGAACCTTGACTTCCATATAGTTAGTATCCTATGTTTCAAAAGAGCGAGTAGATGTGTTTGTGCTGATATTAGCGCTAATCTCATTGTGCACAATAATATGCAGGTTCGAATGAACATTTTTGTCACAAATATATCTAATCAAATTGACAATTTCATATTGATAGTCAACAAAAACTTAAGGAACTATACTATGGCAGCGATATCCATGTGTTCTCGAAAAAACGAGCTTATATTCAGCTTTCTGAGAGTTAATGAATCAAAACACACCCTAGACCTTAAATTTGCTACTAAAACAATTCGTTCGCTTGCTGACGCATCAGCCGACAATATTGATTATTAGAGTGCCCCCTAGAAAAATACGGGTTCAGTTGAACTTCTAGCTTAAAATTAGTCATATTAAATCCGGTCTTTCTTCGAACTGTCGTACTTCAAAGAGAGTCCTACTCAAAGTAGCCGTCAGACTAATATCGGCGCCAGAAGTCAGGGCAGTCAGATGTTTTTTGAATAACTTTCGATAGGAACAAGTTAGAGACCTGCGGTTTTCAGCAATCGATAGAAGATTATAGGGGACACATTTTTATATAAAAACCAAGGTTTAAATAATCAGGCACAATAGGACTAATTTTTGAATCACTGGAAGAATAGGCTCGTTATTTGGTAAAATCTCAGGAGAACAAGCTGAAACTTTCAGCATATATAGTCCCACTGTAGTCCAATCCTTCCTAAAAATATCATTGATAAATCTTGTAATGACAAGGAATGGTGTGCCAATCATCATCTGGTCTTAGATAAAGCTCTTATTCACTCAATATATTAGAAAATGACCTCAACTTTTGACTGAATAAGTATCATGATCTAGACTTCATATCTATGCAATAACATCGTAGTTTGGCCGTAGAAATGAAGGGAAACAGCCAAGTTCGACGAAGAAATGATTTCCATACAGTAAGTATTTTAAAACAAATCTGCCCAACTTTATCAAGAGAAATGCAGAACTTAGTAATGTTTTCACCGTCTCTTCTCGTTCATATAATCAAACTATGATATAATTGCATAGATATGAAGTCTAGATCATGGTATTTATTCAGTCAAAAGTTGAAGTCATTTTTAATATATTGAGTAAATAAGAGGGTGTGGGTGTGGGTGTTGCTAAAGAGAAGATTTACATACACACCCACACCCACACCCACAACCACACCCACACCCTCAAACCAACAGTAACTTATTAATACTCGTCTACTTATTTTTCATTTTTCTTGTTTTTTTCAACTTCATTTGTTATTTGTATTTAAAATGGCTTTTTAATCACAAAATTAAAAATAGCCTAAAAATTTTGAAACAGAATACAGAAAATATTATACGTTGATCTGAACTCTCCAGTACTTGGATTCGCAGTTGAATGCAAATCGGGTCTGAAAGTAAATCACATATGGACCCGGACCCAGGTCCGGATTCTGGTGATATCAAATTTCTAGACCCGGACCCGGACCTGGACCTGACCGGGTCCAGACCAGAGATGTCCATCGCGGCTGGAAATTTGCCGCTGCCGCACCGCGATGAGTTTAGAAACTTCAGATCTTACTGCTGCCGCGACGATAAAAAAAGAAAACTTGCCGCTGCCGCGCCGTGCCGCGATGCTAAAGGAACAAAATCTACCGCTTCCGCGCCGCTACCGCGACGTTACTACGTCGAATATCAGTCTGTGACGAAATGGATAAGAATCATGAGTTTGTTAGAGCTTCAATTGAAGAACAAACAATATAGCGAATGACCGAGAACACCTGAACACTTGAAATATTAAATTAAATAACGGGTGATGCAAAAGTTCTGAATTAATTTTCTTGTCAGTATAGCGTGGCAACGAATCGTTATAGAGACTTGATCTTTTCTCGTTGGAAAGAGCTAAGTGTCTAATACAAAATAGTGTAAAAAATATTTGATTCAAAATGTTTACCAAAAACTAAAAAGCCTTAAGAACACGTTGGACTGGAAAAGTGCCTTTCAACTTCTGGAATTCAAAAGAAGAAATTCTATCTGCAAGGAAAGTTGATCTTTTTTTCAGGCTTTTATCGGGTTTTATAGCGCTACGATCAGGCATTGTAAACGCGGAAAAATAAGATTTTTAAGTGACCGGTTGAGTTCGAATTCAACATTTTTCTAACATCTTTTGCTAGTACAAATTTTTCACAGCTAATAAATGACTTCGAAAAATAAGATTTCTTCCAACGTCAAAGTTAGCAGAAACCGCCTATTTTATATGCAATTAAAGCTTATTGAGTCTTCTAGAAAAGTACATTATATAAAACAGAATTTAGCTTTTCTGTTAGACATCGTGTGAAAACTTTAATTGGATATTCTAGACGAAATATCAACTTTTTAATGAAACTGTTTCCTTTGAAGCCCGTAGTTTTGTAACTCGAATGTTTTTGTATGATTAGAAAGCCCATGTTGCATTGGTCAGACTCACATATACCGTACTTCCAAACATCGAAAGCCGAGTGCAAAACAAATTAAACAAATGCATTTCTCATCTCTAATTTTGAGTTAAATTGAAACGCACTTTTTCGATACAACTCATTCTCAAGGCTTTTTGTTTCTAGTAAACATTTTGAATGAAATATTCTTCCATATTTTTGTAGTAGACAACTTGCTCTTTCTAATAAGAAAAAGATTAAGTCTCTATGAAGATTCTTTGCCATACTGTACTGAAAAGAAAATTAATGCAAAAATATTGCACCAACTGTTAGAAGTTACTATAT